TCGACTTTTAACACTTCTTGGCCATACCTTGACTTATTAGTATTGGACAGCAGTATTTTGACTAGTTCGTATATCATCAAAAACTTCAAAAATTCGAACTCAGTTGCGCCTGCCCATTCTGAATCTTTTTGAGGCACCCCTCTCTGATTTATGTTCTGTCACCTTTGCCAGCAAAGTCACCCACTATCGATGATTTCCTTTGGACATTCAAATGCCTGATTTATCATAAGTCAAAATTAACCCCCCTACCCCCATACTTGTTCTCTGTGAGAGACAAAAGGCACCCGAGTAGAAGTCCAAGTCAGATTCTTTATCAGAGGTAAATCTTTGAGTAGCCGGAATTCGTTTATCAGATATGGTAGTCTCTTGACTGTAAAGCATACTGTGTATCAGAGTAGGACAACTTCGTCCTTACACAGGAAACTGTAAGAAGAGGAAGCCAGCGTCTACTGAGGCTTCTTTTGGAGTGCCTTAGGTTCGTAGAAAGCGAATGTGGAAGGGATTTTGACTGTAATATTTTGATAATTCTGTTCGTTGCGCAACTTACAATAGCATCAATCGTTGTTGCGGAGGTGTGTGTATTGATGCGGTGTATGTTCAGTAGTGTTGCAACAATTGCGCCACCGTAGGACATGGTCGAAGCAATCAGCGAACAAGCTGTTTGCTTTGCACGTCCTCTTCCACGACACAAATATAGGCCTCCAGCAACAAAAAACAAGCCATTTGCAGCCAGCACTACGGCAAGCACGTCATTCCGCAAGGTACAGGCGTGAAAACGCCATTGACGATTCCGGAACAGCATCGTACAACTTTCGCCGTATGACAGGCCCCAACGTGATAGATTGCGCAGCAAACGTTCTGCAAGACAACGGGTTTAGTGAGCTGTTACGCAGTGGGTCCGTGTGGAAACTGCCACAGAGGGCCTGTTGGTTCCAAAAGGCTAGGATTGCTTTCATCGCCTACCACAATCATACCCTGAAACATGAAGTTGCCTCTATGTTCGTTCTTTTTTTTATATCTTCGAAATTATAACTGAATAACTTAAGGGCAGAAATTTGTAGTTCAAGCAACTGTTTTGCCAAATTGAATGAACAATATAAAACTGCATCCCAAATTTTACTGCATTCTGATCTTTGAACTTTGTGCCTAGGAAAAATGATAATCCACAAATTCAGAGTTTGTCCACTTCCCGGGAAGAGTGGCCAAGATTATTGTATCCTGGCCTTTGATATTGTTCCCACCTCATCTGCGACCACAGTGGTTGTTCCTCTCTGACCTAGGACTACAAATCCAATTTTCGAATGAGGTCTGGACCCGTAGCTAGAACAGATCAAACCACAGAACTGAAATCGGCACTTATTACCGTAAGTAATCGCAACAACTTGGCGCACTTTTGCTAAACGACATCTTCTAAATACTGCACATGGATAAAACTTTAAACATATCACCGAAACGATTAAATTATCAAGGCTGATTTTAATAAGCAACTATCAGCTTGCTTCTAAACAACCTAGAAGGATCTATCGCTAGCCTTTCCGGCGAGTGGTTGCTGTTGGCATTTGCTATCACACGACTGCTTCCGAATGCCTCTGTCTTTCACTGAGGGTGATTATGGAAGGCCCCCAAACCTTCGAAGCCACTTTTTATGCGTTTTTTGCAACAATGCAATGCGAAAAACGCATATTGACGAGAGGTTGTCTGTGTG